CCTGGTTTTCTCCACAGGTCAGTTTGTCCCTGGGCACTCAGGGGGCTGGTCCCTGATATTTCCCTTCAAGCGCAATCCAGGCTGGGTGCACTCAGGTCATCCTGTGTTTTCTGTTTGCAGGGCTCTGTGCTCCTCCTGTGCTGACCCAGCCCCCATCTGCTTCTGCCTCCCTGGGAGCCTCGGCCAAGCTCACCTGCACCCTGAGCAGTGAGCACAGCAACTACGCCATTGCATGGCATCAGCAACAGCCAGGGAAGGCCCCTCGGTATTTGATGTATCTTAACAGTGATGGAAGCCAGAGCAAGGGAGACGGGATCCCTGATCGCTTCTCGGGCTCCAGCTCTGGGGCTGACCGCTACTTAACCATCTCCAACCTCCAGCCTGAGGATGAGGCTGACTATTACTGTCAGACATGGGGTAGTGGTAATACTCACAGTGACACAGACAGATGGGGAAGTGAGACAGAAACCTATGTCCACATCTGTGTCACCCTTTCCTCTAGCCCTAGGGGACTATACACGAAGCCATGAGCAGGTCTCTGCAGGTCCCCAGATCTCAGATCCCCAGGCTTCCCCCTTCTCCCAGCCCTCAGGCAGCTCTGCAGAGGGTGGGACAGGAGTGGGTGCAGGGCTGGCAGGACCAGGCTGTCCCGATGCTATTGGGGCCTGGTGTGAGCTGGGGAGAGTGGGCCTTGGTAAGAGGAGATATCCATCAAGGGTCATTGTCCCTGCATTTCCATATGGGGGTCACTGGGTCAGTTCTTCTACTAACTGATCAGGGTTAGGCTCCAGAATTTCCCAGCTCCTCTGAGTTCCTGAAGCCCCAGGCTCACAGGGCAGCCACGGATTCTGAATGGAGAAAAGGAGTGTTGTGGACACTGTGGTGTCCTCCACCTTGGTCCCTCTTCTGGGTCCCCACCCCCATCACTGCTCAGTACCCTGACAGCTCAAAGTCTTACACTCAATGGAAGTGCTGATGGTTCAAAAAGGCCCTCCCAGGTCCATGCCCTTCTCAGTGAAGTCAGTCTAATGACTGCCTGGAGGANCAAAACGGCCCTCCCAGGTCCATGCCCTTCTCAGGGAAGTCAGTCTAATGACTGCCTGGAGCCAAGGTCCCCAGACCCTGCCTCAAAGTGAGTGAAAACAGGTGAGAGCTTTAGAGATCCCTGGAAGAAACTGAGGTCCCATATGTGACCTTGTGTGGGTCACCTTCTTCTGCCCATTGTCCCTGCCTCACTTCCTTCCACATTTCCTGCACAGGCCATTGTCTGTCTCAGAGTCTGCTCCCAGGGAGCATAGTCTAGATGGCCAGCTGTCCCAAAAACAGTCATCAGGGACTGAGGTGGCCCCTTGCACCCACAGAGCCCTGGTTCTCACCTGAATCCAATGTACATGTCACAGTCCTCACACAGAGCTGACAGTTCCTGGTATTTTCCAGAATGAAGGAGAGCCTGACACCCTAGGTGCTCTGGGGCTGAGAGACAGTGGGAGAGTCAGCTCCAACCTCAGATGATTCCAGGGAAGTCCGGGGCAGGTTCCTCCTACAAAGTGACCCAGGGACACAAAACCATGACACAGCTACAGAAGAGATGCTGCTGCACTTCTGCCCACAAATCTTGCACAAGTGTCTTTACATCCACCCTCTCCAGAAATACACAGAGAAAACCATTGTGTGAAGTACAGCTGTGCCTCTCATCACTGATACTTAATAAGCCGCCGCCGTCCACCCCTTGTTGACATGAAACCCACGACATCTCCCAAACCCACACAAGTCCCAAACTGAAGAATACAGCGCCAGCCGTGCCCCACCTAATAGGAAAAGTGTCAGCGCTCGGCCTGCCCACGAGAAGGCACAAAGTACACTTGTGCCCGCTGGCGATACTTCTTTCCCTCCCGCTGCCTTGATATTTTATCACGTAAATATTCACGTATGAAGTTAACTTCTGTTAACATGTCTTCTATGTAACATGTCTTCTGTTAAATAAAAACGGCAGGAGACGGCGCAGCATGAAACTCTAGGTGGTGAGTCCATCCGGACCCCCGATGAATATGAGGGAGAAATGCTGTGCCCCGCAGTGCTCCCTCCTGCGCCGCCTGAGGCCCGAGCTGGGGTCCCGCGTGTCCCCCCTCCACCCGCACATTGCCCTCCCCTCAGCGAGCACCTGAGCCAGTCAGAGCCCTGTCAGCTGGCTGACCAAGCCCTCATTCTGGAAGGTGCCGGGCCCCTGTCAGTCCTGCTGAGCTGGGGCTGTGATTTCATGACAGTGAGCACAGCCCCAGGGAGTCATGGAGCGTCGCCTGCGTCCCCCTCAGCCTCTTGCTCACCCCAGTTGTGTGAAGCGGCCCAAGGCCCCCTCCTCAGACAACACCCCAACTTGGCCTGATGACTCACTGCCAGGGGCGGTCAGGAGGGGCCATGGAACAGTCTCCACGCCAGTTCGAGGCATCACACAGAGCAGAGAGTTGCGGGGATGAGAAGGGACAGTCTGGCTGATGGCTCCCGATCGATGGTAGTGAGTGGTTCCCCCCCATGTACCTTGTACCTCTCCCCGATTCCCAGATACATGAGTCCCACCTATGGGAGGACCAACACTGTGTTTTACACCCCAACTTGGAGCCCATACAGCCTCCCAGAGGAGTTGGCCTGGGCCCTGAAAGGTGCTATGGTCTACCCGGCCCTGTCACTGAGTCCTCACAGCCCTCGCATTGCAGTTATTGCTCCCCGTGGGTCCTCTGTCCCAACAGGGCTTCATGTGTGTCAGATGGACCTGCAGAGACAGGGTGGGTGTGAGTCCACGCAAAGCATCTGGGTATCTCACACCCAGCGGGAGCATACTCTGTGTTCAATGCTCAACTCTTGTAATCCTGTTGCCAAAAGTTCTGGTGGTTGGAGGCCACTTCCAGGGTGCCATGGTCATAGAGCTGAAAGGACAACTGAAATTTAGCCTGTCTATGGTCTGAATGTCGGAGACCCTCCAGAATTCATTTCCTGACATCTCAAAACACAGGTGCAAGAGCAGTAGAGGGAACATTTGGAGGGGTCGAGTCATGGGGTGGAGCCTCAGAACCAGGGTTGGTGCATCTATAACAGAAGCCACATCCCAGCTCCCCCCCACATCCCCAGCGATGGTGGACAGGTCAGAGGTGCCTGCTTGAGCCAGGGAGATGGACATCACCGGGTTCGACCATGTCAGTGACTTGACCCTAGACTCCCGGTCTTCGGAAAAGAGAGCAAGAAATTTCTGTTGTTTTTATTCACTCAATCTGTGACCTTTTGTTCTCGCAGCCTGAATCGACTGACACATCAGACCTTAGGCAAGAACAAGAGTCGGGGAAGGTGTTTCATTCACAGAATAAACACATGGAGCCTGGAAGACAGAAAACACCTAAAATATCTGGGGCGATGAAGAACGACTAAATGATCTGGAGCTGTCTGGAAACGAGACAGATGGCCTGAACCATCCATTACCAGCTGGTTCCCGAACACACTGCCCAGGTGCCTGGTGTAAAAGCCCATTGTGAAAACATATTCTCCACATCACGACAGGGCCCGGCCCCTGCCTCAAGCTCATTCTGAGAGAGCAGGACAGTTCAGCACCAAGAGCCAGGTGGCCCAGAAAGGATCTGGGGATGCAGAAGGAGGATGGGACAGTTCCAGTGGTGACCTAGACCAGGGCTTCTGGAACCTCCATCAGCTCACCAGTCCACTGGGGTCTCCTCAGACGCAGATGCAGCCCCGGCCGGCGAAGGTCAGGGTGGGCCCAGGAACCTGCATGTCTGATGGCTCCCAGGGGAGCCTGTGCTGCTGGTCCTCTGAGGGCCACACTGGGAGTGGCTTCCCTCCTGCTCACCTGCTACTCACAGCTCAGGTGAGAGTCCCACAGGAAGGCACCCTCTGTGTCCTGCCCTCAGCTGGGAACAGTATTGGGCGTGTCTGAGGCAGGTGGCCCAGGTTTATGTCAACTATCTCTATAGACCGAATACTGAGGAGTGAGCTATGGGGTCTTTCTCTCTCTGCACATGAATCAACAAGTGCTTCACACATCATTTCCGTGCACAACTTCTCCAGTGCTTTTTAAGTGAATCATTTCATCACATTCTCAGTAGCACTAGGATTGAAAAGCGATATATTTTTCCAGATATCAGGTGAAACATGTGTTCTTACCAAACATGTTTCACAAAATTAAAAGGCTTCTCTACGGATATTGACAATTGTCCAAACTCAAGGGATCTCACCCTGTTAGAACAGCCATCCTGATCTCAACCATTAGAAACCTACCCCAACCCGAACCCTAAGCTGTAACCTGGATCTCAACGTCCCTTTGACGGGCCATCCTGTGTTGTCCACCACTGAGGGAGCACAGGGAGTGTCCCCACCTCTGTGCACAGATGGTTCCGTGTTACCCCAGGAAACATAGATGCCAACATAGTGACAAACTGAGCAATGCTTAGACAGACTCAGGGAGGAGGGAACGCCTGGATACAGAAGACAGGGTGGTGACAGCCTGGGGTGGGGAGGAGGAGAGTGGTGAGGGTCAGGGCAGAGGGGGGTTGAAAGCTCAGACTCCGAGGTCAGTCCCCTGCTCTGCAGTCTTGACTCCTCACCACTGCCTGGGGATCCGGGAAAACCATTAACCTCCCAGTGGCGGTCCCTCCTCATTAGACTGGAGGAGAGGCTGGGCCTTCAGCAGAGGGGTCAGGTTGGGTCATTCTGATGTCAGGTGGGGGGCGCAGCTGAAACACTCACCAAGGGCCAGCAGCCATTAAGGTCTCAGAGGCAGCCATTAGATGAACTAGCTGCACATGGAGGAGGACATTCATCCCGGGGCAGCAGGGGGCACTGTGGGTCCTCTCAGTTCCAAGTTCCTGGGGCTGTGCAAAAGTGAAAAGAGCATGACTGAGGCTCCTTTGAAGACACTGCTGCTGGGTCAAATCAACCCAACAATGAAAGCAATAGCCTGCCCTTCTTCTGACCTCAGGAAACTACCAGCATGAGGCCCTGAGGCTCAGCCCTCAGACCAGAGCTGAGACAGACAAGTGGGGAACAGAGACCAGATTTGCATTCAAGCTCCTCCCCTGGAGCTGCAAGAGGGACAATAAGACTGGGGCTGGGACAGGCCAGTGCCAGCTGGGCAGCCTCAGGACACAGCTCCCAGAGCGCCTCCCACCATGGACAGGCTTCCCTTCTACCTCCTGCCCCTGGTTTTCTCCACAGGTCAGTTTGTCCCTGGGCACTCAGGGGGCTGGCCCCTGATATTTCCCTTCAAGCGCAGTCCAGGCTGCGTGCACTCAGGTCATCCTGTGTTTTCTGTTTGCAGGGCTCTGTGCTCCTCCTGTGCTGACCCAGCCCCCATCTGCTTCTGCCTCCCTGGGAGCCTCGGCCAAGCTCACCTGCACCCTGAGCAGTGAGCACAGCACCTACACCATTGCATGGCATCAGCAACAGCCCGGGAAGGCCCCTCGGTATTTGATGTATCTTAACAGTGATGGAAGCCACAGCAAGGGAGACGGGATCCCTGATCGCTTCTCGGGCTCCAGCTCTGGGGCTGACCGCTACTTAACCATCTCCAACCTCCAGCCTGAGGACGAGGCTGACTATTACTGTCACACATGGGACAGCAGTGGTAATAATCACAGTGACACAGACAGATGGGGAAGTGAGACACAAACCTCCGTCCACATCTGTGTCACCCTTTCCTCTAGCCCTAGAGGACTATACACGAAGGCATGAGCTGGTCTCTGCTGGTCCCCAGATCTCAGATCCCCAGGTTGCCCCTTCCTCCAGCCCTCAGTCAGCTCTGCAGAGGGTGGGACAGGAGTGGGTGCAGGGCTGCCAGCACCAGGTTGTCCTGATGCAGTTGGGGCCTGGTGTGAGGTGGGGAGAGTGGGCCTTGGTTAGAGGATGACCAGAGCAGATATCCATCCAGGGTCATTGTCCCTGCATTTCCACATGGGAGTCACCGGGTCAGTTCTTCAACTAACTGAACAGGGTTAGGCTCCAGAATTTCCCAGCTCCTCTGAGTTCCTGAAGCCCCAGGCTCATAGGCCAGCCTCGGATTCTGAACGGAGCAAAGGAGTGTTGTGGACACTGTGGTGTCCTCCACCTTGGTCTCTCTTCTGGGTAGCCCACCCCCATCGCTGCTTGGTACCACGGCAGCTGAGAGCCCTACCCTCAATGGAAGTGCTGTTGGTTCAGAAAAGGGCCTCCCAGGTCCATGCCCTTCTCAGAGAGGTCTGTCTAATCACTGCCAGGAGCCAAGATCCCCAGACCCTGCCTCAATATGAGTGAAAGCAGGTGACAGCTTTAGAGCTCCCTGGAAGAAAGTGAGGCCCCATATGTTACCTCATATGGGTCACCTTCTTCTTCTGCCCAGTGTCCCTGCCCCAGTTCCGTCCACATTTCCTGCACACGCCATTGTCCGTCTCAGAGTCTGTTCCCAGGGAGCACAGTCTAAGAGGGCCAGCTGTCCCCAACAGGGTCATCAGGGACTGAGGTGGCCCCTTGCACCCACAGAGCCCTGGTTCTCACCTGAATCCAATGTGCATGTCACAGTCCTCACACAGAGCTGACTGATCCTGGTATTTCCCAGAACGAAGGAGAGCCTGACACACTAGGTGCTCTGGGGCTGAGAGACAGTGGGAGAGTCAGCTCCAACCTCAGATGATTCCAGGGAAGTCCTGGGCAGGTTCCTCCTCTTACAAAGTGACCCAGGGACACAAAACCACGACACAGCTACAGAAGACATGCTGCTGTACTTCTGCCCACAAATCTTGCACAAGTGTCTCTCTTTACACCCACCCTCTCCAGAAATACACAGAGAAAACCATTGTGTGAAGTACAGCTCTGCCTCTCATCACGGATACTTAAGAAGCCACCGCCGTCCACCCCTTGTCGACATGAAACCCACGACATCTCCCAAACCCACACAAGTCCCAAACTGAAGAATACAGCGCCAGCCCTGCCCCACCTAGGAGGAAAAGTGTCAGCACTCGGCCTTGCCCACGAGAGGGCACAAAGTACACTTGTGCCCGCTGGCGATACTTCTTTCCCTCCCGCTGCCTTGATATTTTATCACGTAAATATTCACGTATGAAGTTAACTTCTGTTAACATGTCTTCTATGTAACATGTCTTCTGTTAAATAAAAACGGCAGGAGACGGCGCAGCATGAAACTCTAGGTGGTGAGTCCATCCGGACCCCCGATGAATATGAGGGGGAAATGCTGTGCCCCGCAGAGCTCCCTCCTGCGCCGCCTGAGGCCCGAGCTGGGGTCCCGCGTGTCCCCCCTCCACCCGCACATTGCCCTCCCCTCAGCGAGCACCTGAGCCAGTCAGAGCCCTGTCAGCTGGCTGACCAAGCCCTCATTCTGGAAGGTGCCGGGCCCCTGTCAGTCCTGCTGAGCTGGGGCTGTGATTTCATTACAGTGAGCACAGCCCCAGGGAGTCATGGAACGTCACCTGCGTCCCCCTCAGCCTGTTGCTCACCCCAGTTGTGTGAAGCGGCCCAAGGCCCCCTCCTCAGACAACACCCCAACTTGGCCTGATGACTCACTGTCATGGGTGGTCATGAGGGGCCATGGAACAGTCTCCACTTCAGTTGCAGGTATCACACAGAGCAGAGAGTTGCGGGGATGAGAAGGGACAGTCTGGCTGGTAGCTCCCAATCGATGGTAGTGAGTGGTTCCCCCCCATGTACCCCTCCCCGATTCCCAGATACAGGAGTCCCACCTATGGGAGGACCAACACTGTGTTTTACACCCGAACCTTGAGGCCATACAGCCTCCTGGAGGACTTAGCCCGGGGCCCTGTAAGGTGCTGTGGCCTATCCGGCCCTGTCACTAGTTCTCACAGCCCTCGCATTGCAGTTATTGCTCCCCGTGGTTTCTCTGTCCCATCAGGTCTTCATGAGTGTCAGTAGGACCTGCAGAGACAGGGTGGGTGTGAGTCCATGCAAAGCATCTGGGTATCTCACACCCAGCGGGAGCATACTCTGTGTTAAATGTTCAATTGTTATAATCCTGTTGCCAAAAGTTCTGGTGGTTGGAGGCCTCTTCGTGGGTGCCATGGTCACAGAGCTGAAAGGACATCTGAAATTTAGCCGGTCTATGGTCTGAATGTCGGAGACCCTCCAGAATTCATTTCTTGACATCTCAAAACACAGGTGCAAGCGCAATAGAGGGAACATTTGGAGGGGTCGAGTCATGGGGTGGAGCCTCAGAACCAGGGTTGGTGCATCTATAACAGAAGCCACATCCCAGCTCCCCCTCCACACCCCCAGTGACAGAAGACAGCTCAGAGGTGCCTGCTCTAACTGGGAACAGGGACCTCACCAGGGTCCACCATGTAGATGACTTAACTCTAGACCCCTGGTCTTCAAAACCCAGAGCAATAAATTTCTGTTGTTTTTATTTACCCAATCTGTGACCAATCGCAGCCTAAATGGACTGGGACNAATAAATTTCTGTTGTTTTTATTTACCCAATCTGTGACCAATCGCAGCCTGAATGGACTGGGATAGCAGGCCCTGGGCGAGGACAAGGGTCGTGGGAGCTGTTTCAATCAGAGAGAAAACACATGGAGCCTCAAAGACACAAAACACCTAAAATGTCTGGGGTGATGAGGAACATCCAAATGAGCCGTAGCTGTCTGGAAATGAGACAGACGGCCTGAACCATCCATTACTATCTGGACGTCCCCTGGGGACACCACCCTCTCCAATATACCACCCAGGTGGCTGGTGTAAAAGCCCATTGTGAAAACATATTCTCCACATCACGACAGGGCCCGGCCCCTGCCTCAAGCTCATTCTGAGAGGGCAGGACAGTTCAGCACCAAGAGCCAGGTGGCCCAGAAAGGACCTGGGGATGCAGCAGAAGGATGGGGCAGTTCCAATGGTGACCTAGACCAGTGCCGGGTCCTCTCCCAATGATGTCGTCTGACAAAATCCGGACGTGGAGAGGAAGCTTCAAGGAAGGCGTCTTCTGAGGAGAGGACGTGGCATGTGGGTGGGAGTAATTGGCTTAATGGGAATATCTCTTCTCCTCCTTGGAGGGGGATTTTGGATCGTAAAATCAATAACTAACCTGGGAATGGTAAACAATGTTCTCACTTCTGAAGAAATACCGATTTCCCCAAGTCCAGTCACTATCACATGTGCCGGATGCTTTAACAAATAGTTATTAGAAGCTAGGAAAATTCCCCCTGGCGCCCCCAAAAAGGAATTTATGGAGGAACCAGAGAAAGCTGAGCTCACACAGCCGCCGATCCTCCAGTGCCCCCGCCTATGATTGCAGGATTAGTCGAGGACAAGAAAAAGGCCATCGCCCCTTACCTACTGCACAAGGACCACCTTGGGTAGCACATAGAATAAATGGCAGATTATGGCATCCCCCTGAAAGGGGCTAACAGTGTGGAAAGGCCACCAGACCCTCCTCAGCCTTACACAGGTGCTTCCAATGAGAACGGAATCAGAGCAGTTCATGTAAGTGGAAGGCATGGTCAGTGTGAGAACCTGCCCTTCATGAAACGCTCGGCAAGGCGGCGGCCACGCTGGTGCTCACTCCCAAAGGAACAAAAGAAAGCATTCTTAAGCAGTTAATCCATAGCTATGGCAAAAGGCACTCCGTTCTTAGAAGAAAATGGCAAGAAGAATATAATAGCTTAAGAATAGGTCCATAGTTAAAATATAACCAGAAGAAGTAGTAACCACAGGCAAACATTATATAAAATTTCTGTCTCACAAACTAATCTATTACTGCTGCAAACAAAGCCACATCTATCACTCTATAGGTCACTGATTTTTCCTTTCTCCTCTATTCTAAAAAATAAAAGTAAAATTTGTTCCATTCTGATGAAATCTAAACTTGTATTGTTTAACCTATGAATAATATTTCTTACTTGCTAACCGAAAAAATGTAATCGTAGCCAAAAAAGAAAGTATAAAAGATTCTGTTAATTCTCAATAAAGTGGAACAGTGTCACACCACCTCCAAGTCGTGTAGTCTGCTGTCTCCCAGCGCCGATGCCTTGCCCACCTTCGGCACCCCTGACTCCCTCTGCGGCTGGACCACGGCAGACCAGGGCTTCTGGAACCTCCATCAGCTCACCAGTCCACTGGGGTCTCCTCAGACGCAGATGCAGCCCCGGCCGGCGAAGGTCAGGGTGGGCCCAGGAACCTGCATGTCTGATGGCTCCCAGGGGAGCCTGTGCTGCTGGTCCTCTGAGGGCCACACTGGGAGTAGCTTCCCTCCTGCTCACCTGCTACTCACAGCTCAGGTGAGAGTCTCACAGGAAGGCACCCTCTGTGTCCTGCCCTCAGCTGGGAACAGTACTGGGTGTGTCTGAGGCAGGTGGCCCAGGTTTATGTCAACTATCTCTATAGACCGAATACTGAGGAGTGAGCTATGGGGTCTTTCTCTCTCTGCACATGAATCAACAAGTGCTTCACACATCATTTCCGTGCACAACTTCTCCAGTGCTTTTTAAGTGAATCATTTCATCACATTCTCAGTAGCACTAGGATTGAAAAGCGATATATTTTTCCAGATATCAGGTGAAACATGTGTTCTTACCAAACATGTTTCACAAAATTAAAAGGCTTCTCTACGGATATTGACAATTGTCCAAACTCAAGGGATCTCACCCTGTTAGAACAGCCATCCTGATCTCAACCATTAGAAACCTACCCCAACCCGAACCCTAAGCTGTAACCTGGATCCCAACGTCCCTTTGACGGGCCATCCTGTGTTGTCCACCACTGAGGGAGCACAGGGAGTGTCCCCACCTCTGTGCACAGATGGTTCCGTGTTACCCCAGGAAACATAGATGCCAACATAGTGACAAACTGAGCAATGCTTAGACAGACTCAGGGAGGAGGGAACGCCTGGATACAGAAGACAGGGTGGCACAGCCTGGGGTGGGGAGGAGGAGAGTGGTGAGGGTCAGGGCAGAGGGGGGTTGAAAGCTCAGACGCCAAAGTCAGTCCCCTGCACTGCATTCTTGAGTCCTCACCACTGCCTGGGGATCCGGGAAAACCATTAACCTCCCAGTGGCTGTCCCTCCTCATTAGACTGGAGGAGAGGCTGGGCCTTCAGCAGAGGGGCGAGGTTGGGTTATTCTGATGTCGGATGAGGGGCGCAGGTGAAACACTCACCAAGGGCCAGCATCCATTAAGGCCTCAGTCCAGCCATTAGATGAACTAGCTGCACATGGAGGAGGACATTCATCCCGGGGCACCAGGGGGCACTGTGGGTCCTCTCAGTTCCAAGTTCCTGGGGCTGTGCTCAAGTGCAAAGACCATGACTGAGGCTCCTTTGAAGACACTGCTCCTGGGTCAGATCAACCCAACAATGAAAGCAACAGCTGGCCCTTCTTCTGACCTCAGGAAACTACCAGCATGAGGCCCTGAGGCTCAGCCCTCAGACCAGAGCTGAGACAGACAAGTGGGGAACAGAGACCAGATTTGCATTCAAGCTCCTCCCCTGGAACTGCAAGAGGGACAATAAGACAGGAGCTGGAACAGGCCAGTGCCAGCTGGGCAGCCTCAGGACACAGCTCCCAGAGCGCCTCCCACCATGGACAGGCTTCCCTTCTACCTCCTGCCCCTGGTTTTCTCCACAGGTCAGTTTGTCCCTGGGCACTCAGGGGGCCTGCCCCTGATATTTCCCTCCAAGCGCAGAACAGGCTGGGTGCACACAGGTGGACCTTTGTTTTCTGTTTGCAGGGCTCTGTGCTCCTCCTGTGCTGACCCAGCCCCCATCAGCTTCTGCGTCCCTGGGAGCCTCGGCCAAGCTCACCTGCACCCTGAGCAGTGAGCACAGAACCTACACCATTGCGTGGTATCAGCAACAGCCCGGGAAGGCCCCTCGCTATTTGATGTACGTTAGGAGTGATGGAAGCCACGGCAAGGGGGATGGGATCCCCAATCGCTTCTCGGGCTCCAGCTCTGGGGCTGACCGCTACTTAACCATCTCCAACCTCCAGCCTGAGGACGAGGCTGACTATTACTGTAACACATGGGATGGCAATACTAATACTCACAGTGACACAGACAGATGGGGAAGTGAGACACAAACCTCCCTCCACATCTGTGTCACCCATTCCTCTAGCCCTAGGGGACTATACAAGAAGCCATGAGCAGGTCTTTTCAGATTTCCAGATCTCAGATCCCCAGGCTTCCCCCTCCTCCCAGCCCTCAGGCACCTCTGCAGAGGGTGGGACAGGAGTGGGTGCAGGGCTGGCAGAACCTGGCTGTCCCGATGCAGTTGGGGCCTGGTGTGAGCTGGGGAGAGTGGGCCTTGGTAAGAGGATGAGCAGAGGAGATATCCATCCAGGGTCATTGTCCCTGCATTTCCAAATGGGGGTCACCGGGTCAGTTCTTCAACTAACTGAACAGGGTTAGGCTCCAGAATTTCCCAGCTCCTCTGAGTTCCTGAAGCCCCAGGCTCACAGGGCAGCCCCGGATTCTGAATGGAGCAAAGGAGTGTTGTGGACACTGTGGTGTCCTCCACCTTGGTCCCTCTTCTGGGTCCCCCACCCCCATCGCTGCTCGGTACCCCGGCAGCTGAGAGCCCTACCCTCAATGGAAGTGCTGATGGTTCAGAAAAGGGCCTCCCAGGTCCATGCCCTTCTCAGAAAGGTCTGTCTAACCACTGCCTGGAGCCAAGGTCCCGAGACCCTGCCTCAATACTAGTGAAAACAGGTGACAGCTTTAGAGCTCCCTGGAAGAAAGTGAGGCCCCATATATGACCTCATATGGGTCACCTTCTTCTTCTGCCCAGTGTCCCTTCCTCACTTCCTTCCACATTTCCTGCACATGCCATTGTCCATCTCAGAGCCTGCTCCCAGGGAGCATAGTCTAGATAGCCAGCCCTCCCCACCATGGTTATCAGGGACTGAAGTGGCCCCTTGCACCCACAGAGCCCTGGTTCTCACCTGAATCCAATGTACATGTCACAGTCCTCACACAGAGCTGACAGTTCCTGGTATTTTCTAGAATGAAGGAGAGCCTGACACACTAGGTGCTCTGGGGCTGAGAGACAGCGGGAGAGTCAGCTCCAACCTCAGATGATTCCAGGGAAGTCCGGGGCAGGTTCCTCCTACAAAGTGACCCAGGGACACAAAACCACGACAC